AGGTGGCTTGTTGATATGAGGTCGAGAGCCTATTGATTATGCCACGAGATGGCTTGATATTGGGCTTGGGCCGTAAGGGGCCACTCCTGGAGTCTGTACACCCCCAATGAGCGTGGGTACCCATTGTGATATGAGATATATCCAAAGGGGCTGGTGTTGTTCCATGTTATTGCCCGATGGGCTGATTCTGTTGACACTATGCCCGAGGGGCGGATTTTTATGTGTTTATCTTTCCTAGCTGCTTTACATTTACCTGTTTGATTGTTGAAAAGGTGTTTTAAAGAAGCTTATTCTGAACTAAGTTGTTTTTATAAGATTTCGTAGTTTTATTGCATTTAATTGGTTTTACATTGCTTCTTTATAGCATGTTTCTGTGTTTTACGTGTTTTCTTATCGCTCAGTCTTCATTTATTGTTATTACTCACTGAGTCGGAGTACTCACATTACTCCCTGCACCATGTGTGCAGATACAGGAGCCTCAGGTCCCGCTAGCGAGTGCTGATTGCTTCCAGCTCAGGTGGTTCGGAGTTTACTAGGTAGCTGCTCAGCGTTCGCAGCCCAATGCTTCTACCCCTATCTTATTTTCCATTGTTTTAGTTCTATAATAGACTATATAGACTCTTCCTACTTTTAATCGGTTATTAGATGCTCATGATTGGTGACACCCTGATGTCGAGCTGTGTTGTTTTCCGCAAATTATATCATTCCCTTTATTTTGGGATTATTATCATGTTAATGACTTAAATTGTGCTACTTTAAATTGTTGAGATGAATTGGGTATTGTGTCGGCTGGCCTTGTCTTCACAAGAGGCGCCATCACGATCGGGTCTAGGTTTAGGGTCGTGACACTTATTGGAAGCGCAATCTTCTTCGGTATAATCTGGACGTTATACATATCGAGAGGAATTTTTTTGACAACTTATTTAACACTGTTATGGATGTTACTAACAAGACCAAAGATAACTTGAAGGCCAAGATGGACTTAAAGGAATATTGTAGGCGAAGTGAGTTGTATCTGACATACTTTAACAGCAAGATTCAGAAGCCTAAAACCAGTTACACATTCACCTTGGATGAGAGAAGAGAGATTTGTAGTTGGGTTAATAATTTGAAGATGACTGATGAGTACGCATCAAATTTATCCAGGTGTGTTGACAGGAAATAAGGAATGTTGGCATCAATGAAAAGCCATGATTGTCATATTTTCATGGAAGCGTTGATGTCTATTGCATCCAATGCATTTCCTGAACAAATATGGAAACCGATACAGAGATAAGTTGCTTTTTCAAGGATTTGTGTTCTACCACATTGAGGGTGGAGAATCTAATTTATATAGAGAGTAACATTATCTTAACTTTAAACAAGCTGGCAAAAATTTTCCCTCTTGATTTTTTTGATGTGATGGAACATCTTCCAATTCACCTTGCACAAAAGGCACGGGTTGGATGGCCAGTTCAATATAAATAGATGTATCCCTTTGAGAGGTAATGATATTTAATCACTTACCTTTTGTATTTGCTTTGAAGATTGGGACTATTGGCAAAGGTAAACAGACCATAAAAAATAGTTCAAGAATTGAGGGTTCGATATGCGAGGCATATATGGCTAAAGAAACATCTTATTTCTGTTCATACTATTTTGAACATGAAGTGGCCATGTTTGATAAATAGACCGAATCGACATGACGATGGAGGTCCAAAAAATAGCCAACAAACTTAGCCTCCGTTAACTCAACCAACACCTGATGATATGGCTTCATTGTGGACAGAGGCAGCAGGTGGAGTAAACAAAGGCAGAGTCTATGGACTTGGAGTACGCCGACCTATAGGTCATCCAAACCCACTCTTAGCCAATTCTTCTTCTTCTCAAAATCAAGAATAGATGGAAGATATGATAAAAAAAATTCATGATTTGAAGCAACAGTTGGATTCGGAATATTTGTTAAGATGCAAAAATTTATGAGAGAACATGGGCATGATCTATCTGATGATGAGGATGAACAAACTGAATCTGATGTGTTGTAGTTTAGGTGTAGTGATTTGGTTGATTGGTAAACTTGATTGTGAGAGACAACTTTATGTTTTGTTTTAAAACTTGAATGTGGGCTACTATTTGGATGTTTTTATGCCCAAAATTGTTAGGTTTAATGGATTTGTTGGTTTAGATTGTGTTAGTGGTTGGATTTGTTCGTTTAGATGTTATATTTATTGATTGGTTGTTAGCGTTATTGTATTGTAATAGTTTGGCGGGTGGTGTAGCTCAAAATTGAGTAGAATTCTGCCTAGTTTTACAGAAAATTCCGGCTGATTTCCGACGGAAATAGTCAGACAGCTGCCTAGAGTTTTTCAAAAACACCCAGATTTCTGACCAAATAGGTCGGAAATTAAAAAAAAAATATTTAACAGTTTTCGATGGATTCCATTGCAAATTAAATAAATTTTATTTTTTAATTAATAATTTTTGACTGATTCAGTCAGAAATTATATATTTTTATTATTTAATTTTAAATAAATATTTATTTTCATTTATATTATTACGACTGATTCGGTCTTTTCCAACCACTTTGGTCGGAAATTTAAAAATATTTGGTCGTCTGGCCTTTTTGAACGTTCCGACTACTTTGGTCGGAAATCACTAATGGATTAGGTCGAAAATTATTTTTCGACCAACTGTTTTCCGGCCGACCAATTTTGGTCGGAAAGTAGTTGGAAATTCGTGATTATTGACCGATTTCCGTCCATTTTGGTGGTCGACATTTAGCTATTTTCCAGTAGTGATCGGATAAACCCCGAAGGCATTCAATGAAGAATATTCCTCAGTATTGAATACACGTCCGTTACAGAGAATTTTGGCATTCATTACATGCCGTTACATATTCATCAATGGCCCTCATTATTGTCATTTAAAAGGTGCTTGATCCTAGGACCTTGTTCCCTAGGTATAGCTATAAATAGTGGCTTCAATTGTAAAGGACAAAATTTCTGACAAAATTTATGCTACACACTATTTCAAGCTAAATAATACTCTATTTTTTTGTCTAACGATATTCTTATTGTTACATTCGGAACCCTTGCTCCCGGAACAAAGTTGTATGCTATTTTATCTCGATTTTAACGCAAAGTCTTGCATTTAATTTAATTTATATATTGTTTTGGAATCAAATTAATTTTTTTGTCTATAAACCATGCTATAAATTCAAATGTATCGTTTTACAGGTAAATAGTTTGATGCCTACCGTGGGGCTTAGACTGTTGCGTAATTGATTTGATCCTTGCATCTATTACTAATTTGTTTGATTCTTTATTTCTTAGCAAAAATCGTAAAAGATGACAGATAACGATGTCAACATCGCACACAACATTGAGGCACAAGAAAATCTACCTCAACACCAGGATTCGATCAGCGACACCTGCAATAAGGAAGATGTAGCCACACCAGTTCATGGCGAGGCGATATCCACGACATGTACGTGAGGTGACTACTAACGATGTCGAGGATGAGCACGTTGCGGAAACGGTAAGGATCTTGAGAGAACAACAAAAGTCCAGCATAGGCCATCTCTCATGGCAAGATGAGGCCATGATGGAATTGAGGCAAGCGCCGTCGGGTGCTTCCAACAACGGGAATGGAAGAGGTCCGGTTCCTCCCGATACTCCTGCAAATCAAACAGCGCAAAGGGTTGATAACAACACCTCAAGGGGTGAGGTCGGCTTCAATAGATCCAGGGGGAGCGACAATGGATCTGGTAATGACAACACTAATGATCCCTTTAAAAATGAGCTCATGCAGTATATGAGAAAAGTAAACGCTCGAACGGACCAAATTTCGGGCACACCGCCAGTGTTGCAAGGACCGGACTTAAAGAAATACACCTAGTTGCCGTTCAAACCGAGCGCGGAACCAGAGTTAATCCTGAAGCGGTTCAAGATACCAGATGTACCAAAATATGATGGGGCTTCGAACCTTCAGGAGCACATCACCACCTATACAATGGCGGTGAAAAGAAATGACTTGGCTCCACACGAGATTGCGTCAGTCCTGCTAAGAAGTTTGAAGAAACCCTCACGAAGGGGGCCCTGACATGGTACTCACTCTTACCCAAACACTCAATATATTCCTTTGAGATGCTCGCAGACTCTTTTATCAAGGCCCATGCCGGGGCCAAGAAGGTACATGATCGGAAAGCGGACATATTCAGAATTGCGCAAGGAAATTTCGAATTGTTGTGTGAGTTCGTAACCAGATTTCAGAAAGAAAGGATGCTACTACCAGTCGTGCCATATGAATGGGCAGCTGTGGCATTTACTAAGGAGCTGAACCCAAGGAGCTCCAACGCCTCCCGAAAACTGAAAGAAAGTATGCTCGAGTTCCAGGCGACTACACGGGGGGATGTCCATAACCGTTACAAGTCAAGGATAAGAATAGAAGATGATCATCTCGGGTTCTCGGTATCAAATAAGGTTCTGGATTGAGAAAATAACAAGGATAACTCAAAGGATGATTTTGATGCAGATCAGCGATCTTCTAAGGGCCAATTTTTTCCCTACGAAGGGGCCGAAGGACGCGGCAAAGGTTTGCAGTCGGCGGATAGGTTCGCTTATGATAGGAGAACTGATCGTGGCTGTAACAATAGGTCATTGCAAGATAAAGAGGTATCGGGTTCCCGGGATTCCACCTATCCCAGGCTATTCGAGTACAATTTCAATATCAATGTTATGGAGCTGGTATCGGCAATGAGGAACATCAAGGAAGCACAGTTCTCAAGGATGATGAGATCTGATCCCAGCCAAATGGATCCTAATCTATAGTGTGAGTATCATGAGATTAACAACCACCAGACTGGGGACTGCCGGCATCTGCGCGAGGAGGTGGAAACGTTATTGAAAAATGGTCATCTTAGAGAGTTCTTAAGCTACCAGGCTAAAAGAAATTATGGCCACAACTAGGACAACGCAGAGCCCTCGAAGATAGGTGAAAATCCTCCCCGGCAAACCATCAACATGTTTTTTTGGGGAAACAAGATCAACGGTGTAACTTTCTCTGCAGCAAAAAAGACAAAAGTATCGTTGACTCATAGAAAGAGACTTTGGGAAGTCGCCGAGGACAACATCACCTTCACAGAAGAGGACGTCGATGGACTTCTATTTCCACACAAAGATGCCCTGGTAATTTCTCTTAATGTTCTAGATTTTAAAATTAAACGTATATTAATGCATATTTCGTAGTATTTACATAAGAATAAATATACACTTTTCTTTAGAAGGAAATTTAAGTAAATTTAAGATATCATATAAGAAGGGTCTAATTTGATAGTTATAATCAATATTCCAAACAAAAAAATTCCTATCTAAACTCATGGATTCTTGGATAACTTAAAGTATAATTAAATTCATGAATAAATTCATGAATATGAGATATCAAGTTGTATTTGTCAAAACTAAGAATAGATCTACTATCAAATTCTTTTCTAGATGCATAAACCACTTTGAAAATACAATAAATATGAATATAATCATTAAAAGTTATTATTTCAAAATAATTTAAACATTATCTAACATAGTCAAGTTCTTCATAAAGTTTAAAAAACATAAAAAAAAAATAGTGTTAACTCTTTATTAGTCGTCCATCTTCGAACAATTGAGGCATTAGATCTAAAGTTGTTTCTTATTTTTATAATATGGGACCTTGTTCTCCTTCATCTAATCCTAGATCATAGGTTTCTCCTTCTCCTAACCATCAATGATGTATTATAAGATTATTCAACTCCGATATTTTGCATGTCCCACTTCTAAATATTTTCCAGATTGTACAAAATGCGTATTTGGATTGTATTTCCACAATCACACGAAATTTCGTTTTGATCACCGGGTTGAAACTTTTGGGTTAGATCCACTAAAAGCTCAACCATATATACAACTTTTTGCCTCTCTGCTTAAACCTTAAACCTTGGTTTACAGATTATAATTTTCTCTAATGATGATAACTGTAAGGGGTGTATCATTGGAATTAGTCTTCATAACTTGGGAATTTGGATCGTTTTGATGGCTTGGTAGAAAAAATATGATTATAACCTCATACACAAAGCCTTGCTGCTCTAGTTGCCTATCGATGACGAAACATCAACATTCAAGATTTTTATGGACGAACTCCTACTCAATCTTGTCCCAATTTAGGAAATTCACTCTTCTCCCCCGTTGCACTATGTTTAGAGAAATTCAAGATTGTATCGGATGTATATTTGGAACATACTTTCCAAACTTAATATGGTTTAATTATTTTCTTGAGATAATTGGGGTTGAGCAGCTAAAGAGGGAACTGGACCGTTTGCACAATGAATATGGTGCTCCTAGTGTCTACTCAATTATTGAAGAAATGCTCGCACTTACTGAATGCAAGCGGACTTTGTCTCTACTATTAAGGCTCAGAGGAGTAAGATATATTTGTGTACAAATTATTTTTTTGGTAATTTTTTTTTAAATTTGAAATAGGAACATAGAAAATCTTAAAGATATATTTGTATATCGATTTGTTTTTTGTGATTATTTTTTTTTGTAAATCTTACCGCACCAAATATTTACACCAAATAAATAAATACATGGCATTTATTCTACATATAAGTTATTTATGACTTAACCATAGTTAGGTGATATACACCTATACTTTAAGTTGTGACTTTCATGTTTAAACTGTTAGGTTTGGTGTAAATACAGGGTGAAGGTAAGTACTTACCCTTGTCAAGAGCGAACGAGGTGAGTATGCAATGTGTTCGTCTGAACCCATTACGTTTGGCTGAAATCCTATGTATTTACTAAACAAATACAAATATTAGTAAATTTTAATCTTAACAAACCAAATTGGCCATGATAAAATGCCCAAATCGGCCCCATAAAGTTCATATCCTTGATCTGCATCTGTTAATTGTGGAGAAGTGCATAAATATTTGTTCTTAGGACCCTGTTTAATTCTTAAGGTTTAGCTGCCTTAGAATCAACTTCAAATCGTCTAGGCTGCAGTTGAAATCGCGAGTGTGAAGTTTTAAATTTTAGACTGTCGATCTTAAGTTTGATAGAATTTAATGCTCTGCCAGAGCCTAACTTCATATTCAATAGTTTGAAGTTGACCCGAAGGCCTAAAGAAGAAAAGAAGCAGTAGCAACAACATGAGAATATAAAATTTATCAATACTGGGGGATTGCATCTATACCCAATTTTTGGGTCACAATTGAACTTATACCCGCTTTGCAAAAAAATTACAAGTCTACCCACTTTTGGAATAACTTAAGATATACGGACCTGAAGTAGTAGAAACTTATGTCTGAAGTTTGAACTTTAGAATTTTTTGACTGAAGTGTGACCTTATCAAAGCAAAACTTCAGATATTTTCACATGAAGTTTGGGCTGAAGAACTTCAGATTTGGAAAAAAGAAAAGAGAGCGATAATTGAAGCTAAACGTGGAGAACATCTTCTTATGGAAGAGGAGACAACAGCAAAACACCGTGCCACTGAAACTTCTCCAAAGAAAACTCTCCTTAGATGTTTTTGAAGTGGCAAATTATCAGATTGATATACATTATTGGTCATAAACATTGTATAGTGAAGTTTGTGGATTGGGAATTTCTTTGCATTAGAAACACCGTGAGATTATGCCTTGTAAAATCAATTGCTTTCGTTATTACAAGCATAACAATTTATTCAAGTGTAAACATCACCTGAAGAAACTTGTATTGAAAAAACTTAAGAAACCTTCCATGTTAGCAATATGACCAACTCTAGAAGAAGCCTCTTTACTCAAAAGTTTTGAAATCAATAATACTTACACAGAATTTCATGTGTTTGAGAGAGAAAAGAAGAAGAAGAAGAAGAAGAAGAAGAAGAAGAAGAAGAAGAAGAAGAAGAAGAAGAAGAAGAAGAAGAAGAAGAAGAAGAAGAAGAGGAGGAAAAGAAGGGAGGAAGAAAGGAGCACACGGGTAGCAGGAAGATGGAGGCGCCTGAAGTTGTAAAAATTAAGGTATAGGTTAAATAATCTATACTATATTAAAAGCACGAAGCCCCTTAGAAAAATGTCGTTCGCCTTTTTATCCTTTAAAAATAATTTTTACATTGGATAAAATCGTGATTAATTATTATTCTAATATTTAGGAATTTAAAATTTACTAAAGTTTTGATTATTAAATTCTTTCCGTATTTGAAGTCATAATTATTTTAAAGTCTTTGCCTTTTTATTTTGTTAGAAATGATTTAATCATTGTCGCGCCCCCTTTTTTCCTCGCGGAGTCCGGCTTTCGACATTCATCGAGAACAACTCATTTCCTTTCGGGAATTGGGTATGGCTCGAAATAACCTTGGGGGAAAGGTGTTAGGCATCCCTCGCGGTCCAAAACGGTGGGTCCTGGTCGAACTTAAATTATGTGAATTAGTCATTTAACAGATAGGCAGTCTAAGCACACATATAAAATAAAGGAAATTTAACAGATAATCAGTCTAAGCACACATATGAAATAAAGGAAATTTAACAGATAAATATTCTAAGCACACATATGTAAATAAGATTAGGGAAGTACTAGGTTTATTAGCCTATAGGATCACATCTGTACAATACCCGGTAAGCCTTCCTTAATCAGAGGGGTTACACATGGCATTAGCGCACATGTCATCATATCCTTTACTACCTAATTACCCTCCCTTTGGTCACGACCTAAAGCGTTCTAGCAACCTTAAGATATATCCTATGTGTGCATTACCCGTCTCTTTATTTATATAGTTCCGGAGGTATTTAGGACTTCTAGTTAAGGTGGATCTAGACTCTCCTACAATAATTAAAAGGAGAAAACTCTAGGCGACAAACAAAACACATATGAGTGGACCAAGGATAGAACAGTTAAAGGTTCATATTTTACCTCAACAAATAGAGCAAGTAAGTGCACGTCTCAAACAACAGATTTCAGATATTTCAAAAAGGTCCTAGAACAGGATATCTTGGTGAGCATGGCAAACAGAAAATATGCAGTATTGTGTTAAGGGGAAGTGATAGAGACCTAATCAGTTTGCCTACTAATTTTTTAGAACCTGTTGAATCTAGGCAGTCACGGGCAAAACATAGTTTCACAGTTCTTATTAGACCTTGATTACCTATAGGCTTGCCTAGGCGTGGATCTGTAATACCCTATAAACATGCTGTCTAAATGCAATTGGAATTTTGGGAATCAGTTTAAAACAGTTTGAATTTATTAAGTCCTATAGGCATGCTGTCTAGGTGTGATAACTGATTTTAGACTTATAGATACTGGCAGCTAAATGCAGAAATTGGTTTTAAAATCCTATAGGCATGACATCTAAATGCAGCAATTAGTTTTAAAACATGCAGAAAACTGATTTAAAAGCTTGTTAGTATACAGAAACTGATCTTTTCAAACTTACATGTAGGACGGATTAATTGTAAAAAACCCTATAGACATGGTATCTAAATAAACAATATTGTAACAAACTATAGGCATGGTATTTAACCAAACATCGCAACAAACTTACAGATATGTTATCTAGAGTGCAAGATCGATTTTTGAACCCTATAGGCATGATGTCTAAATGAGCAAATATTGTAACAACTTATGAACAAATATTGTAACAACCTATAGGCATGGTATCTACCCTTTCCCAACAGGATATGTATAAGAATCCCTCCCTTCAACTAATTTTCCTAATATCTGTTTACAATAAATTATTATTACAGACCAACATTAATAATGAATTACAGAAGTGAATTGCTACAACTATAGGGAGCCTGAATATAGGCCCAAAAGATAAACCTGGTAGACCAAGCCTTCAACCAGTCCAAAAGTGACATAACCCCATAGTGCATCCAGTAGTATCCTGGTGTGTCAAAGTTCCCAAGGGTCTCAGGGACTCCGGGCAATGCTCACACTAGAAAACTTTCAAAGTAACCCTTTGTGAGCAAGTTTTGGAAAGCCAACTCCAGTGTATCAAAGTTCAGAGGAGCCTCATGGACTCCTAAGCAATGCTTACACTAGAAGGGCAAGACCCTAGGTGTTCTAAAAATAAGGGTGAAAACCAGGAGATAGTTTTTTTTTAAAATAGTTTTGTGATTCTCAGAAAGTAAGGAGCAAACAGGGTCATTCAGTCATTGTAACTCAAACCAAGGTCCCAACGGTTAAATAGTATACAGAAACAGGGTAACTTAGAGTTTCAACTTAGTTAATTAGATACCACTAGGTGAGCATTCAATCACATACAGAGGGATAGTGGGGTTAGGGAGTCATATTGGTCAGAGGTGAACATAAGATAGAAGGGATATGCTAGTGAAGAAGAAATAGGCATGAGTCTGGAAATGTAGCAATCTAACTAAAACAAGAATAAATAGATTGGGAGCAGGACACACATGGGTTCAATCAGACAGAAGTAAACATGTTATTGCAGTCAACATAGAAGTAAATATGTCATTGCAGTAGACACATAGGTTCCATTAAGACAGAATTAGCCATGTTATTACAAGGAAGCATATAGGTTAAGTTGAATAGCAGGAAACATGTAGTCTAATTGAATAGTAGTACACATACTGACTAGGAATAATGAGCATAAATCAAACAGGTCTAGTTAAAGATAAACATGCTGATATACAGATCCTACTGATTTAGTAACATAAAATGGACATGCTGGGAATAAGAAATACACAGATCAAATCATACAAAGGTTTGCATGATAGTAAAGTGAGAGCACACCAGTTAAAGAAGCAGAAGCAGAAAGTAAAGTAGCAGGATTCAACAGTCTAGTCCAGGCTTTCAGCTGACTAGACAAACAATAAACACAAGTAGCAGAGAGAGATGAGACAGAGTTTGTGTATGAGTGTGTTTGTGAACTGTTGTTCGTGTGTTGAGAGGTAAAACAAGAGTGTATGTATAGCACTTAGGAAGTAGAGCAAATAAAGTAAAGAGAATCAGAAGTCAGTCAATTAGAGAGCAATTAAATATTCATAGAATCAATTCATGTAAGGGAGTCCGGAATAGACCCGTTAATTAGGGGTAATCACTTAATGGTCATAAGAAAAAAAAGGGTTAATTGGGGTAAGGAACCCAAATCATACCAAATAGAGAATCAGTAAGAATACTTAAACCATACGGATAATTTATTAAGGTAAGAGAAGTAATCAAATAATCAAGCAAGCTTGATAGGGACAGAAAATTAGGGGATTATACCCATAAATAACTCTGATTGAGTTTCAAATAAGGCAAGAAGTGGGTTTAACAACCAATTAGGATTAGAACCCATAAATCAAGCAACCAATCACACGAATAAGGCAATCATAGGTAATTAGAGACTAATTAAGGGTCAATCAACACATAAATAGGCAAGAGACACCAATTAGGAACCCCTGGATTAAGGAAAGCAAGTATAAATCAGTAAATTATTTCAGCAAACAATGAAACCCTAAATAATTTAGCTAATCAGTCAATTATTCAAACAATAATGGACAAAAATGTTGAAGCCAAACAATGAACAGTCCAGCAATCAAGCCTGGAACATAGTCATTATAGAAAGATTAAACAAAACATGAGAAATTTCAAAAAACCCTTTGCAAAAATAGACGAAGCCGAAACCCTAATTTTGAAAAATACTTAAGAGTTGATTAACAGTAGGGAATCAGAAAATTCTTAAGGAAAACGGTCATGGAAACTTGAAAACACTTCAGATGCACAGTGATTCGACCAACAAATAACGAGAAAACCAAACCCTAATA